GTGAGGGGTAAAAAGGTGAAAGCAGCAGGGTCGATGAGGAGGAAATGGCTTCGTTGCTGCGGGGCAGGGCCGTGACTCAGCGCGGCTTTGTGTCCCCCCATCAGGCGAGTACACGCAGATGTCGGGGCGAGCGGGGCGCCGGGGGCTGGACGCCACCGGCACCGTCATCATCCTGTGCAAGGGCCCGGTGCCCGAGCTGTCCGACCTGCACCGCATGATGCTGGTGAGCGGCCAGCACGGCCCTGCGTGTGCCGGCGTGTCCCCGCACGCGGGTCACCCCCTCGTGTCCCCCGCCAGGGACGGCCGTCGCCGCTGCAGTCGCGGTTCCGCCTGACGTACCCCATGATCCTGCTGCTGCTGCGAGCCCCGGCCCTGCGCCCTCACGACCTGATGCGCCGCAGCTTCGCCGAGTTCCCGCTGCGCCGCGATGCCACGGTGAGGGGACAGCAGGGGGAAAGGGAAAGGAGAAATAGGGGAGGAAAAACAAGGGGAAAGGGAAGGGAATAGGGCTGGAAATGCGGGGGGGATGTGAGGGGGAAATGGGAAATGTGAGGGAAAAATGGGGGGGGAACGTGAGAGGAAAATGGGGGAATGTGAGGGGGAAATGGGGGAAACGTGAGGGGAAAATGGGGGGGAATGTGAGGAGAAAATGGAGGGAAACGTGAGGGGAAAATGGGGGGAACGTGAGGAACGTGAGGGGAAAAGGGGGGGAAACGTGAGGGGAAAATGGGGGGAAATGTGAGGAGAAAATGGAGGGAAACGTGAGGGGAAAATGGGGGGAACGTGAGGAACGTGAGGGGAAAAGGGGGGAACGGGAGGGGGAAAAGGGGGGGAAACGAGGAGAAACATGGGAGGAAAAAGAGGGGCAATGTGAGGGGGGAATGTGAGGGGGAAAAGGGGGAAACGTGAGGGGAAAATGGGGGCAACACGAGGGGGAAAAGAGGCAGGAAACGTGAGGGGAAAATGGAAACACCGCAGTGAGGACACTGGGACAGGCCACGACGCCCCCGTGTCCCCCCGCAGGCACAGACGCGGCGCGTGGCCGCCCTCAGGGAGGCGCTGGCGGCGCTGGGGGACGCTGAGGGGACGGCGGGGGACACGGCGGACATGGCCGACCTGCCCCAGTACCACCGAGCTGTCATGGCCCTGCGCCGAGCACGGGCCGTGCTCCAGGTGAGGGGACACCTGCGGGGGTGGGGGGCACAGGGGGGGACATTTGGGGAAATGGGGG